GCCCAGGCTGGCCTCGAACTCACAGAGATCCGCCTGCCTCTGCCTCCCGAGTGCTGGGATTAAAGGCGTGCGCCACCACCGCCCGGCTCGTTTCAGTTTTAAAACTCTTCCCTGGTTTGGGGTGTAGCTCTCTGATACCGTGAGTTCAATCCCTAGCACAAGCAAGAACGAAAGCCCTCTTGCTTTTATACTATAAATCAACTTGACCTGCTACTCCAGTTTACAGGATCGCAAGCTGGTCCCGCCCTCTATGACAATCACGTTCTTTACCTTGCCCCCTACATTCCAACCACACTAGTCTTTTTCTCCGTTTCTTGAAGGCTACACACATCTTCCTGCTGAGGACCTTTGCAAAGCTGCTTCAGCGGCTGGAAGGACTCTGCCTCGTTTCTTCAAATCTTGACTTTGCATCTCACCTCCTAGAAAATTCCTCCTTTCCTGGTCCACTCCTTAAGTTGCCTTTTGGAACTTACAAATTAAATCCAAGCATGCTAGGCAAGAGCTCGACCACTGATACACATCTTCCGTCCGTCCCCCTTTTTTCTTCTTTTTCTAAAATTTGAGACGGGTAGCACTAAGTTGCCCAGGTTGGTCTTCAACTAGTTATGTAGTCCAGGCCTGCTTGCTTGCACAACCTGGCTTGCTGTCTTTGACGTTTTCTTTTGGAGACAATCTCTATATAGACCAGGTTGGCCTCGAATTCACAATGCTCCTACGTCTGCTACCAAGTACTGGAATTACAGGCATATACCATCCCATCTGGTATGCGGCCTCATAATGACTGAGTATAACTGTTCAAACTTCACTAACTGATTTAACAATATCATGTTTATTTGTATCAGTTTCCAATGGGCTAAGTTCGTAAAGGGGAAGTACCATGCCTGTTTTGGTCATAACTGTATAAACACTCCAGGCAGTCTGACCTGTGCAGCTAACGCTCCTTACCAGTTGCAGCAAAGAACAAGCAATCTGTAGGAACAATTATTTTCCAAGAGCACTGGCCGGTCTGGTGGGTGTGATTCCGCCGGGGGCGGGGCCTCCCGCCCAGACCTAAGCACAGGATGCCTGGGCGGGGCATCCCGGAGTGGCGCTCTCGCTTCGGGGCGGGGCCAGCAGGACCAGGACTTCTTGGTCAGAATTGGGGTTGATTTTCCTTCTCCCTTAGCGTTTCCTCCCCAAAGCCCTGGCTCACCCGAAGGCACCTCTTCCCACCACTCGAATCCGCTCGTACTTCTCCATCTCATGTCTCAAATACGCTTCTGGAATTCCCGTGCGGCGCGTGCGCGGACCCGCCCATCCGGGAGCTCCGCCTTCCAGCTGCGAGACTCTTGCAGGGCGGAGCCGACGGGACGGGGCGTCTGTTAAGACCCGCGCCTTTTCTTTGACTGTAAATCGCGTTTCCCCAAGGGCCCTGCCGTGGGTAGGAGAAGAGACATTCCCGGTTCCTGGGCGAGCCCCTCAGTGCTCGGCACCGTACAGCCACTTTGCACACGCGTGATTTGGCATAGGTCAGGTCGTTAGACTGGAGCGATGCGGCGCTCACTTTAAGTTGACCCGCGCAAACAAGATTGTCCCTCAAAGGTCGAACGGCAGTGGGGAGCGAGGATCGAGTCCCCGCTGCCTAGGCGTGGCAGGCACTACTTCAGAAAGATAAAGGGATTCCTTTCTGGCACGTAAAGGATGAACCACCGAGAGCCTGCTGTGTGGGGTGGGAAGCGGGGGTGGTTTGGTGTTTGCCAAGGGAGAGACCCGGAAAACCCGAGATGGGCAAACTGATTCACCTGGAGAGTACGTGGCGTGGTCCCTGGGTTGTGGCAACTACCGAGCACGGCGGTCTTGACTTTTCAGAACCCCGCACAAAACTCTGCCGTAAGGGGACCCAGCCACCGGTGCTCATCTCGAATGGGGAAGTAAACCTCTGCCCGAAAGTGTCAGGATGGGGGGAAACTCGAGAGGGTTTTACGCTTCTGCTCAGAAATAGTTGGCTAGTCAGTATCACGGCTAGGGGTTCGACCAGGGTAAACTTAATCCTTATTCATGACGCCGCTGCTCTAAGGGAGTTATAGAAGCCCAGGATTCAGGAGGTGGCCCCTAGCTAAGGGTTACCCTGTTTCTGAATGGGCGAGCAAGATGTGGGAAGGGATGTTTATCTTTTGTCCCCGCCCCGCCCCAAACTAGCCTACGTGGAAAGACCGGAGGGAGCCGGCGGGCACTGGCTCAGGCCAGAGTCGGCTGGTGGACAGGCTTTCCAGTGAGCAAACTGGAACTTGGGAGCAGAAAAGGGGGTGAACTGCTCACCCAAGACATCATGCTGTCACTTAGTAACCGACCGGAGCTTGGGTGATCGTGGAGCTCCACGGGGGTTAATGTGTAAACCGGGAACCATCAGGGAAGACAGCAAACACCCAAAATGCTTTGACCCCTGGGTGTCCGAGCTGGGGTTTTGTCTTTTTCCTTCTAAAATACTGTTTTAGTCCCCACTTTCTGTTCGCGTCCTCTATTTCCACCTCCCTAAAGCACACCGCTTCACTTGCCGCACCAGCTCTAGGCTTTTCCTCGGGGTCTGCAAATCCCGCTACGCAAAACTGCCTTACTCACTGTGAGGCGGGCTCGGACCCCGCACCACAGTGAGGACAGGCTGACACCTAGTGGCCAGAAGCCGCAACTGCTTCAGGCCGCTGCCCTGGAGAGAGGGTCACCCCAGCTGTCTGGGCAAATCCGCAGCCTTCCCCGCCCCAGCCTCCAAGGAGCCAGAAGAGGGTTGGGACTGTCTGAGGGAGGACTGTGACAGCCGCTAGGCTCCAGAAGCCCAAGAGTGGTGGGGAGGAGAGGTGTGATGATGGGTGACTCAACAGTTCCCAAGCACCATTCGTACGGGGGTGCGGGAGAGGCAGGTCAACACGTCGGTCTAGGTCCTGGAGAGGAATCGAGTCTGGGCGGGTCCGTGGTCCGAGGCGGCGCTCGCTATCCCCCAGGACCAGGATTTAGCCGAAGCTGGTGTGTGATGGTCCCGCCCAGCTCTGCCCTGGAAAAAAAAAAAAGAGTTGAGAGAGGAGCGTTCTCGCGGTACCCGCCCAGGCTGTGCGAGCCGGTGGCCGCGGGGAAAGTGAGGTTGGACGCACGAGGGGAGCCGAGCACTCCTTCGGCTGTCGGGAGGCGCCGGAGAGGGGTGCCTCGGCGGCGATGGCGGGGACAACCCCTACGTGCTCCGAGTCGGCGGGATCCGGGCGGGGCCCCGGGGGACACGGGGCTCGCGCCCTTCTCGCGGCAGAGGCGCCCGAGGGGCGGGGGCAGGCGGCGGG